ATCATTGTACGCCAGCTGACTGTGGCCATTCCCAAGCCTCGCAAAGCAAACCATTCAGGGGAATCCAGACATGTTCCAGGCTATGTTCCCTAATGCGATATAGACTCGCCCAGAGTGGACGCGACCACGAGTCGGCGCCAGCGAGATTCGAAAGCCAACTGTTTATTCAAAACCCAAGCAGTTAGCCAATTCGCTAGCGAGTTTGCAAATTGGCTGCCCCAATACTTCTGAGACTTGCTGTAATATGGTAATGACATAACTGTAATCCATTCATAGACACTTTCGTTAACATTAATAATAATAATGACATGGCGAACGAGTGTACTGGTTTGTATATATCAATGGTGACCTCGGTGGGCGACCTCCAGAATTCCATATGTCAAGGATTACATATAGACTTTGACTATGTTTTATTCGAATTGAATAATGTCAATAAAAGTATCATTATTATTATCATTATTATATTACTGTGAGCAGTAGCCGTTCAATAGTTACACTCGGCTAGGTTGGCACGGGGTCAATTACTAGACCAGAATAGCGTTTGAATCGAATCTGATATATGCCGAGCAATCAGCGTTGTCAACTTACGCAATGAATGCCATAATATATGATCATCAATATAATCTGTCACAGTGGACTACTGTCTAACAGACAGATCACCTTATACGTATACTCAATGACGTCACATCCCTAACTTCTCTTACATCACACCCCTCGCATATAGTAACAACACTTCATGAATGTTACATGTAGTCATATCTTGCTACTAACACGTGTCATCAGAAATTGTATCCCCGCATATACAAACACGAATAGGTACATTAGTCTAGGGTCTATATTAGAGGCTTAGAAACAGGAAACATAACTCATCTAGAATTTATTTTCAGGTAGAATGAGACATCATTGTACCTTTTGTACTGACCACTTAAGATATTATAATGATTGTACCCTGTTTTAAATGTCTAATTTGAATAGACACTGCTTAAATGTATTTGTTGGTTCGTTTTTATCTGTTATGACAGTGAGTATGATATATACTTCGATTCTATCCAGATGATATATCACAAGATGTTTGTTTGTTTTTACTTTACTATGACTGTGATAGAGTGATTTCATTGATAACTATCGATGACTACGTATGTTATTGATCGTTTGCTTCAACAAAATTTTAGATTAGGACATTCAATTCAATATGTATGTTAGATAGACATTGCATCACTGTAATTAGTTTTTAATTGTGCTTTATTATTTATTTAAACGTGCTAAGTCTGATCACAGCCATGTGCGAAATGGTGAATATATGAGAGCCGTATAAACATAGTAATGAACGGCATTCAATCGTTATGAACGCGTGCGAAGATTAGAAATTTGAATTTCTCGCGTACGTGCTTTTTATCACATTATACAACGTTGGAATGGAGTTGTGCCGCTATTACTTGTTTCGATCGTTTTTGAGCATGTAGTATTGCTTTGGGTGACTGTCCATTAGTTAATTATTCAGTAAATCTGTTGTTATCACACCTTTCTTTCGTTTGTGATAAGATTTGCTCTGATTGATTCATGGCCTTAAGCATTTGTTTTTTTTGAAGGCAGGAAGTCTACGGTTAAATTGTAATAAAAAGCTACATATTTAAACGAAACGAACTAAAACATATATTGTTACTATGGGAACTAGTGGGAACGTTATAAACTGTCACAATAGTATCATTTACTAAATATCGTATTTGACGTGCCAAAGAGCAAGGTCATCTAACTTTTTATTTGCAGTTTGAGAACATGTCTCATTCAATCTACAAAAAAAAAACAAAGAAAAACGTTACTAGTCCGCGCCATGATTTGGTAGGCAATTTTTTTCTTTTTAGCTAGACTTCTCATATGTGATATTGTATCTACATTTCAATAAAATATTTACTGTATTAACAATGAAGTAGTTAGAAAGGTCAAGCGATAACCCCGTATTCTACAGAACAAACAATTCAATAAATGCAGTTGGAATGATTCAGATAATTTTGGTCTGTGTTTTAGTAGTTTTAACCCAATCATTTCATTAAATTTGAAGGCACTATATAGTGAGAAAAATGAACACAATACAAATATTTATAAGAACATACAAACATACATCACAAAGTATTTACAAAGTATTAAACTTGAGTTAGTGAGAATTTATGTACCACATTTATAATCATTCTGTTATGCACAGATGTACAAAGCTGATCACGTGAACAAATTGAAAAGATGCATTAATGTTAATTAATGTAAACAGTTTTTCCGCAATCCCTAGTTATCATACCATAAATAAAACCATTGAGCTCCGTGATGCTCCGGACAATATCAGCTTTTGTATTAGCACCTCTGTCTTGAAGAATTCTACATGTGTTACGCCGCGTGTTTCACCATACATTACATGGCTTTCAACACAGATCCCAATGACAATGTTAGCGCATGCGCCACACATTACTGAACTGGTCTTTTTATAAACGCGAAAATGTTGAATGTAATCAGACACCTTCCTCGTGTTTCATGTTGTAATATGTTGAATTCCAGATTTAAACTAACATATATCTGAGGTAGAATTCAAAACTACAATAATCCCATAATAACATTTTAAAATTTGATAAAATTTGATATTGAGGAGATATGCACTGCCCTCTATATTGTTATTCGATTACACAAAGGCAATATAAAATATTCATAACAATAATCTTTCTGTACTCATATTTTCTGTGTGATCTTTAAAAATTATTACAATAAAGTAGACCTGATTAAAATAAGATATACAATAACATAAAATACAGTCAATATTTAAATTTGTTTTGATGGATTTGACAATTTGTTTTATTATTTATTTAGATTTCCTCTTCAACTGAAAACTATTGAAAGTAAATTAAGACAATATGTTGTTCGTGGTGTTCCTTTAATGTCGCGTGGACTGTATAATGAAACCTCATACTGCTCACTACAAACCTGAATATCGCCCATCATATATTACATATATGTAATAGTTAATTTTCTGTTCAACTGCTAGATCTCACGAGTTGCGTGAAATACGCGCGCCGAACGATCTTTGACAGGGAAGTATTGTGTTTGAATAGCCTTACTTCTGAAAATGACCACCATTAAATGTGTCCAGCACATTATTAAACATGAAAATATCCCCCAAAATACTTTCGCATTTATCGAATCCCACGCGATGTGTGTCGCCACTAAGACGCTATGACCTTGATTGTCCTGTTTTTGCGTTGTATTTCACGCATAACGCCGGGTCTACACGCCCATTGTGCTAATGATTGCAAAGAATGTGGCCAGTATTAAAATTGTATTCACTATTTTTTTTATTAGATTAGCCTGGCAATATGCATTGTATACTGTAAAATATTTTAGCTGGAGATAATTTTCGCTAAAAATGCATATTGGCTGTGAGCCTCGACAAGTATGTGTGATTTTTAAAACAAAAACTAAACATTATTCATTTTCTGTCCTATTTTGTCATTCACATAATGGCATATTCGGGAATAGCAATAGCTTTGTACGACGTCATAGAATGGAGGAACGTGATATGCCATGTTGGCATTCTCTAAAAACGAGAGTGCTTAATATTTGTTTGACAACATTGTCATAGCGATAAATGGCAAATCGGTGTTGGTACTTGTGATTGGTATCACACGTGTAAACTGTTTACACATTTTGCAAAATACGTAATTGAAAGTCAGTGTCGTCACAAAAGATTGTGTTCGGTACGGGTACGATGTGACATATACAACACGTGCAAAATAATTGTTTACACAACATTCGATTGCGCTTTGTACGATGACAAACGCCATTTAAATCGTTACATATAGAAAATAAGCATACGTATAGCTCAAGTTAGCAGACCGCCATGTGACGTCATTCAGGATTATTCCACTATCATACGATTAGGGTTTAATCGTAATCGCCTTGCTCTATAACCACATAGTAGAGTTAAATTAGCATTATCTTTACGTTATCACCATACGATATTACATCGCCACTCCACTAAATTAAATGGGCGTTCCAATCACAATTGAAAGCGGTTGGACCTTTATGCTTCATAAATTATCTCCACGACGTTGTTATTCAGAAGGCTGAAAATAGAAATCCCGCCCACATACTAATGATATTCATGCTATAAGCGTTCACGATTTTGCTCTTTTTTCACAGATCTGCCGACACTGTGTGGTACGTGGAAGGTGTGGGAGCTAGATTACTGACAGAAGTGTGTAAACATAGATAAATATATATCTGAGGGGAAGAAATGTCTACCGAGGATTATTCTGACTGGATGTGCATCAATCTGACTAATTACACCAACTGTTCGGACCCATGGAACGGTGCAGGTTTAGCATCGGACGCTGCGCCGATCGCTGTTTTTTACGGTCTCATCACAATAATAGGATTTCTAGGCAACTCGATGGTGATTCTCGTAGTTTTAAAGGAGAAAAAGATGCGAAATACCACCAATGTATTCGTGTTCAGTCTTAGTATTGCAGATCTCTCCTTCATTATAATTTGTACACCTTTCACCGCGGCGGACCACATGTTGGGTCAATGGATATTTGGTCAAGTGATGTGCAAACTCTTCAACTATTTCACATTCGTTAACGTCTATGCCAGTATATATACACTGACTGTCATGTCGTTTGATCGTTTTCTGGCCGTCGTATATCCTATACGTACGATGAAATTTCGACGCACTCGCTATGCCATTATATCTGTGATCGTACTATGGATAGTAATACTGATCACACTGTCTCCACTATTAGTTGTAACTATCACCGAGAAATACAAGTATATAGATGGTCAGGTGTACACTTCTTGCCACACGTCCATGAACATGCAGGAGACACGAATTTTCATTGGCCAATTCTTCGTAACATCATATGCTTTCCCACTCACCGTCATCAGTCTTACGTACTTCCTTATGCTCAGGAGTTTATGGAGCAGCGCAGCCCCGTCATCGAATATCTCCGAGGAGTCGGCTAAGCGCAAAAGGAAAGTCACTGTTATGGTGGTGGTTGTTGTCATCGTTTTCGCCATCTGTTGGTTACCCATACAAATTTTTCTGATGGTGCAGAATTTCGCGGTGTACGACTACGAAAACCCTGTGTTGAAACCCATTTATTACACTGCTAACTGCATGTCATATGCCAACTCATGCATTAACCCAATTATTTACGTGTTTTTGTCCAAGAGTTATCGTCAAGCTTTTAGAAGAGCTATATGCTGCTGTGTACAAAAACAACGCACGACAAGAGGTGGATTCATGAGGGATTCGATGATGGTAACGACTGCCGTATCAAACACTCCAAACCGGTCGGCAAATAGACATGGCGCTGGTAAATATATAGCGTCGGGAAGCCAAAGAAACTCGTCGTCATCATCTCACAGTGTCACTCACTCCAGTCCCCGTGCAGTGTGCAACAGGAAAAAGGGAAATGAATATTTAATGACAGAAGTTTGTAGAACTCGTGCAGAAACTAAACCACTATTCGGAGAATCCTCTGCATCCGATACTGGTTCAAACCCCTCCGAGATAACTTTCAGTGAAGAAGAACGGTCTTCTAGCAAACACAAAGGAGATGTTAAACAAGTAGCTAAAGCTATCACAAAAACCGTTTTGGAATACTGTGATGATTCAGACGCTAGTTCTGTCGATATGGAAACTAATCCTAGTGAATCTGCATCACCCGCAAAAAAATCTGTTGAGTTTGTATTACGCGAGCCTCATCGAGTGGGGGCGCGCTTCTCATCTGCAAATTACTGCGATACACACAAGTACAGAAGCATGCAAAACGTTGATGATATTCAGAGTTCGAGACGTAGTACTTCAAAAGACGGTCGATATGTGTTAATGGAGACAAGTCTGGATGAAAGAAGACTTATACGAAATAGAGCAACACTTTCATACCATCATAGTTGATGACGTAACTAGAATTGCATATTGTGCCGCAGTTATAAACATGTATATTTGTTTCTAAATCACACGGTATGACATAGCACATCGTAATCTTGCGTGATTTGTAAACCCTAATGATCGACGATGTGTATAAAACAGCCATGTATCATGGATGGGTAGGAGTCAGTGTTTTTTTCTTTATAAAACCTGTGCACGTTCAGTATTTTGGACGCTGTTGACTAGATATTGACGGAAATGTTGGTGTCTTCTCAACAGTTGCCCACATTTTTAAATTGCGTGATATGACGTTACGTGCAAGGTCTATATACGAGGAAATATACGCACTGCTCTTTATGTTTTATATCGGTATTAATTGGAGTGAAGACCCAGTCAAATGCACAACTACCTATAAACCAGCAGTTTTCAATTATAGAGATCACATTTAATAATATGCAAGTTAACGATAGTTGATGCAGATGCTAGTCTTCTAGTAATAATTCAGCTGTAGTGTAGGAAGAAAAACTCAACTCGTTATTGGCTTATTAGCATCACCATACGTTGCCCGATTATTTGAACTCCTAAGACACCAATAATTCTCAAATTTCGTTTCAGATAATCTATATTATAAATATAAAAAGTAAGAGGTTGCACATAATTTGGTTTTTAATAAGTCTATTTTTCCCACAGTGGTTATTATGTGTTTGTATTCACTGTGTCTATATGATGTGATCAGTTTACGTGTTGCTGGACAACATACAGTACAAGAATAAATGTTTACCCGGCATTCCACACGCCGTACGGCATCGCCTGCAGCTCTAGAATGTACTATGTAGTAACACGGCATCCATATCATAGTATTTATACAACTGTAATAGTTCTATGACTAGTCTTTAGAGTTAAAATCACCTCGTTATAGCTAGTTTTGAATTTGTGTTTTCGAAAATTATACACATTTTTAATACGTATAATCTTTAATGCCAGAGAAACTATTGCTGTTGAGTTCAGTGTGCTAACGAAATAAAATAAGAACGCTCTGCATATATATATATATGGACTATGTTATTTAAAAATAAACATTTTGAATAGTATGACGGATGGTCGGACTGTGGCAATTTACATGTGTTCAACTTGTTCATTATGCGATGTTAGCTCAGTCAATATTTATCTATCACGTGGTGTAACTAAAAGTTACACTTCATGAATTATGAAAGGAAGGGCGAAACAAAAAATGAATGTAACAAAACAGAACAAAATTGCAATTCAGCGGGTATTTCGCCATTTTCCCTGCAGGTGCTGTGCATTTTATGAGAACCAAACTAGGGTCTGCGTCGACACATTTATTGCGTTCAATTAAGTTTTATTACAAGATATTTCATTTTGTATATTTATATAATAGATACCTTAACAACTACCACATCACGTGACATCTAATGATTTTTGTTGTAATTATCTGCTGTATGCCATAGGGGCATGAAGATCTCGTTAAACCTACCTAGAAATAATTGGACAGCGTTGTCTCAAACCGTGACGCTGATGCTTACAGTGTTAGCAGTAATAACGGTCGATTCCACGCGAGAGGGATAAGGAAACAATCAATCAATCAAAAATTATCAAAGTTCACAACATAATTTATTGCTGGGACGTGGGCGGGTTTAAATTTTAAAATGGAATTTTATGTTTTAAATAAATGTTCACCATTTTATATAACATGAAATAATTAACATGTTTGGAGAGAGATGTCCGCAATACCACGTTACGTCACGTTAGATTGATACTTTTTACTAGTGTCGTTTGCAAACAACAATTTGTATTCGAGTTCATTTATTTGGTGTGTATGTAAAATACATATGACATAATATGAGAACGTAACGAGAACACGACAAAGTATGCACGAAAACAGAACGTGGTACTTCGCTATATGTATTTTACATATTTTGCTTTTGAATTAAAATGTTGTTTCAATGTGACGTCAATACTCTTGAACGCGTCAATCTTGGTGACGTAGTATACCCATATCAAGGAATTTCAAAGGTTTGAACGAGTTCAGATTTGTTTTTCGGACAAATCAATGCAGAAACGGCATTTTACGGAACGGTAATTTTTTTTTTTCGGCGCTAAATGTATAATTACAATTATTACCTGAATTCACTTGCTCACAGAGTCGGTTGATACGAGTGACGTCATAGGCTAGTATTACCCCTGAAACGAAGGAGAGTGGATAATATAGCCATTACTGTGTGGCAAGGGGGTAATACAGCCCATGATACCATGCAGTCCTCTATAAGTGATATCATGTGATAACCTTTTTATCACATGACCTGCTCCGGATGTCAAAACGACTGAGAAATCTAGGTTTTACGGAACTATGCTTATGAATCATATCCTAATTTATGCCGATGGTGTTCGAAATCGACAGAAATGTTACTCTTATTAACATTGTCAATTTCATTTCAAAATATACTCACAGCCGTCGTTATTGTGAATTACTGAAATTGTACCATGCGAGTAATTGTTTTTATCGAGTTACAAATTCACATATCGCAGCGATGAAAACTGTACTCTGCCACGATTTAGTCCCGCATTGTTCGAGCACACTGAGACAGCAAGAAGCAGTATTTATATTGAAAGCGCAATTAGCCGCTAATGACCTCTTTATATATCATATCAGCACGAAATTTTGGAAACTGACCACTCACGAGTAAAAGAATGAGCTTGGAAGGTGACCAACACCTATGAGAGCATCGGAGCATAGTGCGCGTTCTTCGGGAAGCCGCTTGTTAACGCTGTGGAAGAAGCGAATATTGTATGTGTACATAATATATACTTTTGAACATCAAACTACTTGCTTTGTAAAGCTAGCGAATAATAAATATTTAATATTTTTCTGATTTTCTGCTGAGCACTAAGTAAATATGAATCTGTAATGTTAAATTTGGGAACAATTTTAGAGCGGGAATTTCCCTTATTTTGAAATGAAATTTCGGAAATTCAACAATACGTTATCCCACCGACAGGTGAAAAACGCAGGTTACAGGTTCCGGTTACAGGTTAAAGGTTACTCCCGATAGCATTTCAATTTATTGTATAGATTTAAATATGACAATATACATTTGTACCTGGGTCCCAGTGGAATCAGTTATGTCTTAACCGATTTTTTTACACGACTGTTAATATGTAAATGTCGTTATTTTGGTGCCATTGCATGATGATTGTGGAGCGCTAACTGTACGAAAAATGTTTTTATTTGTGGCTTACTCGTTCGTAAATAGTAAACGATTATGACGATTTTCATAGTCTTTATCACTTGCGCTTAATAATAATAATAATAATAATAAATACACAAATTTACTTTAACAAAAGTATAAGTGTTATAACCTAAATGTCAAGTGCCCACCGCTATCTGAATCGACTACCTGTAAACACAGCAGTATATTAACCCAGCATAGCCTGCCACCATAATAAATTCAACAGTCTACGAACGATAAAAATTTTTGAGAGAATTAAGTAATAATTTTATTAATCCGGCATGACATAGTTTCCAATAGATAACACGCCCCAAGGAGCTTTGCAGATCCCAGGTCGATAACAAGTAAAATCAAATGTTCCCATCGACCCCAGACATTTGTGAAAGTAATATTACGTACATGCGCAGAGGAGTAAACGCTAATAATGATGGCAAGTGTATTTTCAAGATGGCCGTGTATGTGGAGTTCATTCCAATCTCATAATTCCATATTTGGCATGGTACCGAGTATGTGATATAATTCATTGAAAATAATACGGCATGATAATGTTAATATATTTATTTATGTTTATGATTCGTCGACTAATCAATAACCCTCACCAGTGCCTCAACACGGAATTGTTATTTCCGTCAGGGTTATGCAATTATTTCTGAATGGGTGACTAAAGTGTGAATGTAGGGGTAGATAAATATTTTTTCAATGTGTGCAGATAATAAAATTCGCTGCATGCAGACTAGTGCCAGGAAAAATGTCTCCACCGTTAATCAGGAACCATTATATGAGGCGATGAAAATGATTCTCACAACAGAACTACTACCACTTAGACGATGTGCATATTTGAATGTAATATATTACATAACCCCGCTCTTGTAATCGGTGTTTATACAATTTCTTGTTCAGTGGACATTTTAGATAAACATAAAACAATGTGTACTCAATAAAACTATATAAAATAATGTTGACATACAATCTTATACCATGGTAACTGCTGACATGGTAACTTATGTATACAATATATACACGTGTCAGTATGTTATTAGGTATATCTAATATATCTGTGTTGCCATGGTAATCATATCAACAGCAAGTTAAATTATCCGTTACAAATCTGCGATTTGGAAATTGTTTCCTGTTGCCTGGTTTAATCGAATATTAAATCAATCATTGGTTATGTCGGTTAGTTCAAACACTTACACTACTCTGGCATTGCATTATCAGAAAAAATAAGAGAAGTCCGCAATTGTATACCACCACCACAGGCGGCCCGTGCACACAATCCCAAATTTCAGCACTTGTAATCAGGCTGTCCACCTGTACCAATATTTGCGTTGTTTTAACTTATATCCTCGCTCTCAACCTTCATGACATGCATGATCGACTGATTGCATTATTAATGAATGTCAATTACTGTGCTCGTGCGTTTGAAATGGAACGGAGTAAACATTATCACGTGAGACTGCGGTTTAGAAATGAACATTGATCGGCAGTTTATTTTACCTTACAAATGCACCTTGCTTCATCTTATGGGTGAAGGAATTTGTAATAGAGCTAAACGTTGTATGTATAAATACTTCAATAGAGGTTGTATTGTAACTGAAACCCGTAAAAGAATATTCCGCACGACATTTTCCTGCCATAAAATACGACCAGCCAATTTATCCAGTGGTTTGTAACACGCTCATCTGCTGGCGGGGGGTGTAATTGGCTGACATTTGCAGTAGACATGTATTATGTATGTATAATTATGTATGTGGGCAGAAAAAAAAGTAGTGGGTGTAG